AATTTCTGCCTCGGATGGAGATAGGGAAGAGGAGCTGGGTGGGAAGGGAGAGGGGGCTAGGAAGAAGGAGTGTTTTTATTATGTCTTTTTCTTCTTATGGTTGGGAGAGGGAAAAAATATCAAAATTCCGATTCCATCCCAGCACAAATCAATGTTTGCTCCATCCCAGCATCACGGGGGAGGCTGGGCCAGGCAGATTTAAAGGGACAGGGAGAAGAGAGGCGAGGAGAGGGTGGGGAGAGGAGATAGAAGAAGAGACAGTGGCGATGACAGAGGTGGGAGGAGATGCACAGGCAGAAAAGGATGGCTGCCTGATAAACCTGCCGCGCGGAGGGGGCAGGTAGACCCTAGAACGAGAGGCACAGAGACCCCCACGGTGGGAAACCCCCCTGGGATTCTGGCAGGCGGTGGGGCGAGGCCGAGGGGAGGGGATAGGAGTAAGGGGGAGGAGACTAGCTGGAGATGGGGAGGCTGGGGGGAGGCCGAAGCCTGGCGGGGGAGGAGAGATGCTGGCAAGGCTGGCTCGGAGAGGGCCAGAGGAATACAAAGAGAGAGGTGCAGGGGTGAGAGCTGAAGAGGGAGATACTGGCGGAGAGAGGAAGGGAGGGAGACCCATTCTGGGGCTGGTGAAGGATGGCAAGGAGAGAAGCGGGGGAGGAGGAGAAGGAAAGAGAAAAAGAAAAAATTACATATATATATATATATGAGAGAGAGAGGGAGAGAGAGAGAGAGAGATAGAGAGAGAGAGAGAGAGAAATAAGGGTTGTGAAGGGAGAGGGAAAGCGCTGCAGGGAAGGGCGGGTGGGGAAGCATAGAACCCAGCAGGAAGGGCCTGAGCAGAGGCTGGAGGGCTGGCAGCGGTGGTGTGGGGCTCTGGGGAGAAGGCTGAACCCGCCAGCTGCTTGGACCGAAGCCAGGAAACCGCTGATGTCTGTGTCCACCAAGTCCACCGTCCTCCCTAAGAAACCACTGCAGGGGGGCCAGGGGGCTCCCCCACAGCACTTGCTGGGGAAACTTGAAATGGGGCCCTGCCAGGAAGCCTGGCTCCACCAGTGCTTTTCCAGACCTCGCGGTTCTTCACCCCCACCAGCTATTTCTCGTGGCAGTCCCTCCGAAGGGGGAACAGGGGTCACGCTTGGTGGTGCCTTGCAGGTACTGGGGCTTCAGAGTCTTCTCTCTTCGCAAACCTAGAGGCAAAGGCACGAAGGCATGTTGGGGTGGGCCCTTACTGACGCGAGGTCCCCTGCAGCCTACGACCCCTCCCTGACCGCTTTCCAGAGGGGTGGTGCATCATGGGCCTCACTGTTCACAGCTGGAATAGGCACATGCTGTCTTCCCTGCCCCCTTGACTGCCCCTAAGCATCTAGGAAGAGGACACTGTCCAGTTACACCCAACTGCATACATAATCAAGTGCACTCAGTTGCCTTTATTTTCATACAGGACCACCCCATCATTTTACAGAGAAGAGAACTGAGGCCCAGAGGGGGAAGTCACTCACCGGAGCAGAGGTCACACAGCAGAGGTGGCAGAGCTAGGATCAGAACACTAGCCTTCAGATCTTTTCAGTCCCGTGATCCCTCCCAGAATTCTGTGTGCTCGAGAACCTCCCTTGGATTCAGGAGCTCCATTTTTAATACTTTGGTAAAATAAAGAGCGTGAGGTTTGGAATCAACAGGATTTTCCCTTACATTTGTTTTCCTAAAGGTGGATATGAGGTTGGAGAAACATGTACATTTCAAGCCTCTAGGGCAGTGTTTCTCAACCTTCCTGATGTCACGACCCTTTAAAACAATTCCTCATGTTGTGGTGACCCCCAATTTCATTGTTACAAATTGAACACAATTAAAGCATAGTGATTAATTACAAAAACAATATGTAATTATATATGTGTTTTCCGATGGTCTTAGGCAACCCCTGTGAAAGGGTCGTTCGACCCCCAAAGGGGTCTGGACCCACAGGTTGAGGAACACTGCTCTAGGGCTGGGACTACATCTTAGTGCTTAGTGTGAAACAAGGCAGCTATGGGTCCATTTGGCCTTCCTTCCCACCTTCCTTCCTACCTTCCTTCTTTCCTTCCTTCCTTCCTTCCTTCCTTCCTTCCTTCCTTCCTTCCTCAAACATTGACGCAGTTTACTGTGTACCAGGCACATTGCCAGGAGCTAGAAAGATACAGTGGTGAACACTGGTGCTTGCTCTCAAGGAGTTTACTATCTGGTAGAGAAGGCAGACAACTAACAAGCAATTCTAATGCAGTTAGTGCTGTGATGGGTTCAAGGGCCGGAAATAGGGCACAGAGATGCAACCTAACTTAGGCTGGCTCCTCAGGGCAAGAGGCATTTAAGATGAATCCGAGGGCATTCTGGGGCAGGCCAAGCTGCTTCACATCACTTACCCCTAGGTGTTCAAGCCTTCCTTCTTCACACAGTGCCTTGTCTTGTCCAGCCCTTAATATTCTGCTTTTCTCCAATAAAAGGGAAAACAACGAAAAAAAATAGGGGCAATCTGTGGGCCTGGTGAGACCTGTGTC